CAGCCGAGATTCCAGTCCTACGAATGTGGCAGCACGCACAGCAACGCCCTCACGTTCCTGGTGCTCATCAGACATCTAAGAGGGAGTGGAGGACAAGCCACAATGGCAAGAAGTGCTATGGAGAAAGATGAAGTTGGGGGAGAACAGATGCTATAGTAGAGGGTCCCCTTTTTATATAAGGGGTCAAGAGTGTGGAGGAGTCTCTCTGATAAGGTGACAGTTGCAGTGATCTGAGGAATTAGGCAGTGAATTGTGCTGCACTTGGAGAAAGAGATTTCCAGGCAGGGAGGGAAACACCTGCAAAGAGCCTCTGCAGAATACTTGATGTGACCAAGAAGCATAATGGAGGCCAGTGAAGGTGGAGAGAAGCATAGGGATTCGTTAAGAGAGGCCGCAGGGCAGGGAGGAGAGGGCTAGTGTACAAATCGCACAGGGGTTGTGGGTCACAGCAGGCTTGGCTTTTCTTTAGATTGTATCTATAAAGAAGTGATATGTGAATAGTACAGAGAAATGCAAAAGGTTAGGGAGGACATGAAATTTCTCTATCAGATTGAGGTGCTATCAAAATAAGCAGGTGCAGGGAGAAATCAAGATGGCAGCATAGGTAAACACCTGAACTTGCTGCCTGGCACAACCACTTTAAAACTACAACTACAAGTAAAAGACAAAATGAATATCATCCAGAACCACAGGAAGGCTGGCTAAGTGGAAATTCTACAACTAGAAGGAAAGAGAAAAGCACACAGACTCAGAGAAGCTGTGGAAGTAAAGTGCAGAGATACGGAGGTGTGCAAGTGGAGAGCTAGCAACTGGGGATGCAGTTGGCTTTTTCAAACCACAGGGAGACACAAGCTCCTGACTGCTCTGAACTCCAGTTCTGGGCAAGACTCTGGAGACCCAGGCTCATAAGGGGAGAAACTGAACTGTCTGGCAGCAGGCAGAACTCGAGAACTTTCTCTCAGAAGTGCTTGCAGTGATTACCAAGGGACACTGAGACCCGGGGGCCTCTTAGGGCAGGGCTGACGGGAAGCCATTGCTGTTTTCTCTGCCCTGAGACTCTGCCCCACCAAGGTGTGCACAGAGGCTTTTGTGTATGAATGGCTTGGTCCTTTGAAATCTAAACTTACCTAACAAACTGAAGCTGAGTCAGTGAGACCTAGAATATCCAAAAGAAGGCCCAAGGCCCCACATCAACTTGCATTGCTTCACAGCTGGGTCTCCAAAACCCAAACAAAGAAGAGGAATCTGCATAACTCTCCATAGCTCCTGATGAGTGGCCTCAGACAGAGGCTAAATTAGCACCTACTTGGAGATCCAAGAGCCAGTGTACCCAGGGGTCAGAGTAGGACCATCCACATTACAACTCCTCAGATCCTAAGGGACACATTCAGGGGACAAAGCCCCACTGAAGCAAGTCTTGCCTCATAAGGGTGTCTCCAGCACAGAAGTTCTCCCATCTCAGACACAGCTGTTCCTCACAGCCAACTGGCCAGGAATTTAATTCCTCCCAGTAAGCCAAAACCAGTTTGGCTCAGTGGTAGAGCATCTGTCTGTGGACTGAAAGGTCCCGGGTTCAATTCCAGTCAAGGGCATGTACATTGGCTCCAGGCACATCCCCGGTAGGGGGTGTGCAGGAGGCAGCTGGTTGATGTTTCTCTCTCATCGACGTTTCTAGCTCTCTATCTCTCTCCCTTCCTCTCTGTAAAAGATCAATAAAATATATATTTTTAAAAAATTCCTCCCAGTGACACCAACAACAATCAAGACTTAACTATAACAAGACTGTACACACAGACCATAAAGGGGTGCACCACCTCAAGTAACTGGGGAGGCCAACCAACTGGGCCCTATAGGACACCTACCACACAAAGCCACTCTATCAACTCAGGGAAGTAGCCAAAATGCGGAGACAAAGAAACAGGTCACAAATGAAAGAAATGGAGAATTGGAGAGATCCAAGATGGCGGCATAGATATACATCTAAACTGCTGCTGTGCACAACAATTTCAAAACTACAACTAAAAGACAAAATGTCTATCACCCAGAACCATGGGAAAGCTGAGTGGAAGCTCTACAACTAGACTGAAAGAGAAAAGAGCATTCAGGGCACAAGCGCCAAAAAACTGAGGTACAGAACGTGCTCGCACATGATTTGGCTGGCGGTGGATCCTGGCTGGTGGAGGGCATTGCTTTATTCAGCCCAAAGAGAAACAAGCTCCCAATCTCTCTGAAATCCAGTTTCTGGGGAGAAGCTGAACTCTCTGCCATCAGGTCGGAAAGTGAGGGTGGCTTGCTTGCAGAGCTGCGCACAAGAATAATTGCTGGGGCACGAGAAGTTGGGACGCGGTTGGAGAGCAGAGATGGCTGACTAGCAACCATTGCTATTTGCCACACCCTAGCCTAGTGACACCCTGAGACTCTGCCCCGCACAATCTTCAAACACACCCAAGCTCCAAAAAGCGGCTTTTGCATACAAATGGCCTTCTCTATTGCAATTTAACCTAGCAAACTTGCAACCCAGTGCAGACAGCTTCAAAGCCTCCAAACTCCAACCAGGGAGGGGAGGACTGTGGTTCTTGCTGTAGCTTCTGCAGGGTGGCCTCAGACAGTAGCTGAACTGCACTCCATTGGAGATCCAGAAGCCAGTGTACCTAGTGGTCAGTGTGAGACACCAGATTTCAACTACTCACATTCATAAGTTACACATTCAGGAAACAGACTCTGAGCACCAAAGCCCCAGTGAAACAAGGCCTGCACCATAAGTATGTCTCCAGCACAGCAGTTCTTCCATTATAGACACAGTGGGTCCTCACAGCCAATTGGCCTGGAGGTCAATTTCTCCCAGTGTTCTAACAGCAATTAAGGGTTAACTACACCAAGACTTTGCACTCAGCCCACAAAGGGGTGTACCAAGAGCAACCACCTCGGGTGATTGGGGAAGCTGAGCTACTGGCCCCTATAGGTCACCTACCACACAAAGCTACTCTAACACAGGGAGGCAAACAAAATGCGAGACACAGAAGCATGTCACGAATGGGAGAGATGGATGACACAGAGTTCAGAAGCACATTTATAAGGTTACTCAAGAATCTTCTAAAAACTGGTGCGAAACTTGAAGAGACCTTCATGGACCTTAATGAGAATGCCCACAAAATGGAAAAGGACGAGTCAGAAATTAAGCATACACTGTCTGAAATAAAGAATATACAGAAACTCAACTGGAGATCAATATACTCCAAGAGTCAAACCAAAGATTTGGAATATGAGGAAACAAAAAAACACACAAACAGAGAGGCAGAAAGAAAGAAGAATCCAAAAGTGTGAGGATAGTGTAAGGAGCCTCTGGGACGGCTTTAAGCATACCAACATCTGGATTTTTGGGGTGCCAGAAGAAGAGAGAGAGCAGGATATTGAATGCCTATTGAAAGAAATAATGACAGAAAACTTTCCCTACCTGATGAAAGAAATAGACTTACAAGTCTAGGAGGTGCACAGACCCCCAAACAAGAGGAATCCAAAGAGGACCACACCAGGACACATCATAATTAAAATGCCAAGGGCAAAAGACAAAGAGAGAATCTTGAAAGCAGCAAGAGAAAAAACAATTAGTTACCTACAAGGGAGCATCCATATGACTGTCAGCTGATTTCTCAACAGAAACTATGCAGGCCAAACAGGAGTGGCAAGAAATATTCAAAGTGATGAACAGCAAGAACGTACAACCGAGATTGCTCTACCCACCAAAACAATCATTCAGAATTGAAGGTCAGATAAAGAACTTCACAGACAAGAAAAAGCTAAAGAAGTTCATCATCACCAAACCAGGATTACATGAAATGCTAAAGGGTATTCTTTAAGAAAAGGAAGAAGAAGAAAAAGATAAAGGTAAAAATTATGAACAACAAAAAGGCATCAAATACATACAGACCAACAAGTGAATAAAAAATCTGAAGAACAGAATGGACTGGTGTATATAATAGAATCAGGGACATAGAAAAGGAGTGAACTGACAGACCTCCAGGGGAAAGGGGTTTGAGGGGTGCAGGAAGAGACTGGACAAAAATCATATACCTATGAATGAGACAGCGGGGGAGGGGTGGTAAAGGCATGGGGTGAGGTAGGAACCAAGTGGATGGGAGCTATGGGAGGGAAAAGAGGAACAACTGTAATAATCTGAACAATAAAGATTTAATTAAAAAACAAAGTAATAATAATAATAGTCAGGTGCAGACTTGGTCTACAGGCAACTAGGTCTTCTGGGTCAGCATGTAGGGGAGGATTCAGGGCTCAGAAACAGATTCAGGGGTCTGGCTCAAGGGAGGCCACTCAGCATGTCAAGAACACTGTGATGAAAACAGGAAAGGCAGCAGTCACCAGAGAGCCTGTAATCTAGCCTTCCCTTGGCCTGTGCTAGCTATGAGGCCAGCTAAGCACTGAGCTTCCTGAGAAATCCTTAGTGGGGACCAGACCGCCGACAAGGACACAGGTCGTTGTGATAGGCTGACACTGGGTATCCCTCCGGAGGCCTGATTTGGGGACCTTTTTTGCCCCTTTTCCTAGTCAACCTAGGATATTTCAGGGTTTTTTTTTAAATATATTTTATTGATTTTGTACAGAGGGGAAGAGAGAGACAGAGAGTTAGAAACATCGATGAGAGAGAGTCATTGATCAGCTGCCTCCTGCACACCCCCCACTGGGGATATGCCCGCAACCAAAGTACATGCCCTTGACCGGAATCTAACCCGGGACCCTTCAGTCCCCAAGCCGACGCTCTATCCATTGAGCCAAACCGGTCTCAGCGGATATTTCAGTTCTTAAGCTTTTAATGTCGGCTGACCTCCAACAGCCCCGGAGAGGACAGGGAGGCTGAGCCAGTGCCCTGTGTTGACTTGAGGGATTTAGGATTTTGCCAATGTATACACTTCCTGCCTCCACAGCCCTAGGGAATTCCAAGCTGTGACCTCGGCAGAATCTCCTGGAAAAGGAGGCATCAGATACAGGCCCCTCCTTTTCTCCCCTCCCCCCCCGTTGTGGAGCCAACAGCAAGTATAAAAGGGTTCCAGGGTAGGTAGGGAGCACCTGCCAGCTGCACCATGATGGGGGCCGGTGCCCTCGCGCTGCTCTGGGCTGCCTCGCTCCTGATCTCCAGTGGAAGTGGGTGCCTGGGGACATGGATTCTCCGGGATTTTAAGGCCTCCCGGGCAGTCCTGAATGTGTCTGGGGGGTAAGGGAAGAGTGTGTTTTCATGAGTGTCTTTCAGGACTGTGTGTCAGCTGGCTTTGTGTTTCAGATTGTGGCATTTGCCCAGCCGTGAAAAAAGACGTTTACATATTCCTGACGGGATCCCCAGATGAATATGTTGCACAAGTGAAAAAATACCAAAATGACTCTTTAATATTGGCCAATGCCAGAAAACTGAAGAACTGCATTGACCAGAAACTGACAGAAGAGGATAAGGAGAATGCTATCAGCGTGCTGGTGGGTCTGGCTCTGTGTGTGTGTGTGTGTGTGTGTGTGTCTGCTCTGATGCCTGTCTGGGATCTGCTCAGATCTCTCCTCTCCACATAGCCCTTCCCTAAGAATCAAGGAGGAAAAGAACTCCCTGAATGAGGAATTGGAGATGATGGGTGGGCACCAAAGGTGTGGGGAAGGGCCAGCTGGGAAGGCTCAGTCTAACCCTCGAGCTCTTGGGCTGGCCCTGACCGCTCGCATCTGCTGGGCCACCAGCCTAACACCCTCCAGGCCCTCCTGTCTGTGTGACACCACCTGGCCTCAGTGTCAGGCCCTGACTCAGCCTCTCCAGCTCACCAGCCTGGATCTTCAAACCATTGGCATTGAGTCCTCTACCTTAACTCCTCGAGTTCCCTACTCCATCCCCACCAAAACCCTCATTTGCCTTGTTCTCCGGATCCCAGAGGGCCATTCTGTACCTCAAATGCCAGGAGAGGAGGCACCTTCCAACCTCCAACTATAAGTTGCCCCAAGTGATGATGGAGACATGCCACTCCTTCAGCTGCACGTGTCCACAGGACAGGAGGACACAATAGACTAAGCTCCCCTCCTGGAAACTCCCAAGTGCTCTGGGACCCACCAGTCCTCCTCAGCAGCCTCTTCCTGTTCTATCTAGCACTGCCCTCCACTTCACCATGGTGACCCTTCCTCCTCTTTCTGTTCCATTGGTGGAAGCTTCTAGGTACAGCCTGGGATTTTCTTGTGGTGCAGGAGATAGTGAGGAACCCACTTTTACCTGCTCAGATCCAAGGGTTACCATTCCAATAGGGCTGCCGGCCCCCCTCAGAAGGCCCAGGTCGTGTCCAATGTAGCTGGATGTCTTCTAGCCCGGGCTTCCTGTCTTTCTCTTTGCAGAATAAAATATTCTCAAGTCATTTATGTTAATGGAGCCATCCTTGCCAGGAGCCCCAGTGAAGCTGGTTGCCTGGTCATTAAGGAATTCTCTGCAACTGCCATGTCCACATGTCTGACTAAAGAACTCCAGTAATAAAAGCCTTGCAATTCAAGCGAGAGTGTTTGTTCCTTAGGGGCTTTGGGGAGTGGGCACACAATGGGGACCACTCGTGTGACTTCCACCTGCAGCTGGATGTGAGTGCTGTCAGATGTCGTTCCTCCACTGAATTCAATATATGGGAGAGGGGAGGTGATAACTAGAATGGCTTATCGCATCTGTGGACCAGGATCCACTAGTCACATGCACTGTATGCCAGATTTCAGCCTCCCAACAACCTTGAGAGATGGGAGTAAGCATCATAGTCTTACAAGTGAGGAAGCTGAGGCTCAGGATGTAACGTGTCTGCCAAAGACCACAGAACTCCTGGGCAGCAGAATGTGCTGCACCCACTCCTGCCCCTCCTCTGCAGGGGAGAACAGCTCAGTAAGCTCACCTCATGGCTGTACACATATTGCAGTCCCTCACTAGGCCTCTGGTTCCAACCTATAAAACAGAAATATTGTACCTCCCCTCTCCAGGGCCGCTTCAGTGCATGAGAAGGGGGTTCTGTGAGGAGAGAATGAGCCAAGGGTCAAGGTACCAGTGCAGTGCTGAACCCGGTCACTTCTTGTGCCTCAGTTTATCCTCATGCCAGCCCCCCCAATTGCTAATTCTGCTGCCTCCACGTTGGCACCTGCAAATTGGGTCTAATGCTCAGAATGGGGTTCAGGGTCCTGGAGCTTCAGAATGCCTCCTGTGGCTCTGCTCCATGACCATGACTCCGAGGCCTCTCAGGCCCTGTGCCACCCTGTCTTTCTGGCCTGACCTGCACCACTCTCTTATTGCTCCATCCAACTGAGAGCCAAACCACAGGGCTCTTCCAGGAGGAGTCTCTAAGAGCCTCATGGTGGAGAGCTCAGGAGAGGCCCCAGAGGTGATACAGAACAGCCATTGACCTTCTTGTGCTTTGAAGGTTGCAGGGAGAGGCCAACTTCCCAGAGTACCTGGCTCTTGGTCTGTGCCCTGCCGCTCTGGGTCAAGGGGGATGAGGCTTCTTCAGAAATGGAGAACTGCCTTTGGAAGCTAAGGAGTTGAGGGGGCATGTGCAGGTTATGGGGCAGAGACCCTTCTCATCACCCTCCCATGTGTCTGGGGCATGTATCCCACCATTCTCCCATTCTACAGATTTCAAAGTTCAGGGCTTCTAAAAGAGTGGCACTCACATGAGTTGGGTGGGTCTTACAATGTCTTAGATAAAGATTCACCCTTGCTGTGGAGAGTTTATGGGTGTCATGGGTACTCCGCCCAAAGAGGAGGAGGAGATGAGTGGTGGGCAATATATCCTCTCTAGGACACAATCAGTTTCTTGGCTGTTACTTAACTCGCACAGAACTCCCTAGGGAATGCTGTGTACAGATACATCTTGATATTGTCCATGTGCTCCCTCCCCTCCTCTGCCTTCTTCCAACCTGTTGAATCTCTATCTATTCTGGAGGTAGGGGTGAGGGGAAATTAGCATCAGCTACCTTTCAAATCTTTTACTGTCGGACATCCATACCTTGAAGGTTTACATAGTAAATGTCAAAAACTGTGGGTTTTTATATCTGATTCTAACATGGCTTTGCCTCTGAGATCATAGAAGTCCTGCCCATTTCTTCCTAGGCCCCACTCCACCTGACTTCACCTAAAGCTGTGGTGGACAATCCTGTAGGCAGGCATCTGCCTCCTCACACACTTGCTTTTCTCTTTACAAGTTGGTGGCTTTTTCCAGTCCCTGGGAGCTTGTTGCATGTTGTTAAGCTCACTCTGAAAGTGTAGGGGAGTTGCTGTCACAGGGAGACCCTCTAACATTACCCCAGCCTCCCTGACTTCTGCTGGGTCAGCTCTGAGGTGAGTTCCACAGTGTCTCTGAGAAGGTGCCTAGTAAGATTGAGTCCCAGTTGCCCATCTCCGTAGCCTTTTCTCACTTTCCTATTTAACTTCCTCTTAAGCATCCTGAGATCACTTCTCAGATAAACTGCCTGCCCCCCGAGTCCTTATGTCTGGGTGTCCTCTGGTGGAAACCCAAACAAATTAGTAACTGCTGAATCAGGAAGAAAGGCAGGCTAGTAAAAGAGGCTCAGTGAAGGCATCAGGAGGAAAGGGTGAGATACACAATGGACTCTTCAGAAGTATCATCCATCCTTCATAGACAGTAGGGAACCCCACTACTGCAGTAGTGCAGTAGGGTGGCACTCTCTTGCCATTTATTTCTCTAGGGACCTTGCACTGCTGAATTCTCAAACTGCCCTGATGAGGTGCTTTTGTGGTGTACCCAACTCCAGCACAGGATAATCAATGGGGGATTTCAGACACAAGTATACACTGCTGAATTTTTTAAAAGTATAATTTCTTGATTGTTTTTACAGACAGGAAGGGAGATGGATTGAGAGTTAGGAACATTGATGACAGAAAAGCATCAATCAGTGGCCTCCTGCACACTCCCTAATGGGGATGTGCCCACAACCAAGGTACATGCCCTTGACCGGAATTGACTGGGACTCTTAAATCTGCAGAATGATGCTCTATCCACTGAGCCAAATCGGTTAGGGCTACACTGCTTAATTTAATTGAGATCAGGGAGCCAGAAAGAGATATGGAGATGAAAGGAAATTCTGGGTGTAGTACAGATACATCAGAACTGAGACAAGCTCCCAACTTCATAAAAAAATAAAAAATAAAGAAATGAGACACCAATTAACAACCAGAAATAAAATAAATGATGTCTTTATGATTCTACAATAAAAATAATAATAACTAGATACTATGAACAAATGCCAATACATTTGATGGCTTAGGTGAAATGGACAACTTGCTTCAAGATGTGAATTACAAAACTGACTCAAGGCAAAAAATAATATCTGAATAGCTGTTAAGAAAATTTTCTAATTAAAACTTCACATATAAAAAGCTCTAGCCTTATAAAGTTTTATTGGTGAATTATATAAAGCATTCAAAAAAGAAATAATAGCAACCTTATATTAATGCTTTAAGAAAATGGAGAACAAAGGAACTTCCCAACTAATCTCTTGAAGCTTGAAGGATAATACTTCATCCTCATAATAAAATTGTTACAAGACAAAATTGTTACAAGAAAACTGTAGACCTAGTTGAAACCAAGATGGAGGCATAGGCAAACACCTGAACTGCTGCCTCACACAACAATTTCAAAACTACAACTAAAAGACAAAATGAACATCATCCAGAACAGGAAAGCTGGCTGAGAGGCAATTCTACAATTGGAAGGAAAAAGGAAAGCACACAGAGAATCAGAGGCACTGCAAAAGGCTGAGGTACGGAGACATGCACATGGACGGCTGAGTGCCTGACTAGCTTTCTCTAGAGGGAAGGAGACAAAAGATCTGACTATGCTAAACCCCAGTTCCGACTGCACTGAACCCCAGTTCCAGTCGAGACCCTGGGGATCCAGGTTTATACCTGGGGGGGGGGGGGGGGGGGGGGGATCTGGACTGTCAGGCAGAAACTCAGGGGAGCCTCAAAAGGCAGAGGTCTGGAGGTGTGTGTGATTGCGCGAAGAGAGGACTGACTGCTGAGTGCCTATGGCTTTCCCTAGTGGGTGGAAAATGGAAGCTCCCCAACTACGCTAAAGTCCAGTTCCAGGTGAGAATCATTGAGTTTCTCCCTCAATGAATCTAGAAACTGGACTGTCTGGCAGTAGGCAAAACTCGAGAGCGATTTACTCTTAGAAGTGCTTTCAGTGATTACCAAGAGACACTGAGACCCAGGGACATCATAGGGCAAGGCTGATGGAAAGCCAAGACCATCTGGTCAGCCCTGAGACTCTGCCTCATCCAAGCTGAGCACAAAGGCTTTTGCAATTTTGCAAGTCTGGTCCCATAAGGCTGTCCATCACAGAAGTTCTTCCGGTGAAGACACAGCTGATCCGCACAGCCAGTTGTCCTGGAGTTCAATTCCTCCCAGTGATACCAACAACAATCAAGACCTAACTACAACGAGGCTGTACATACAGTCCACACAGGAGTGCACCAAGAGTGTCCACCTCAGGTAATTGGAGAGGCCAACCAACTGGGCCGTATAGGAAACCTAGCACACAAAGCTACCCTACCAACTCAGGGAAGCAGTGAAAATGTGAAGACAAAGAAACAGATCACAAACTAAAAAATGGAGGAAAACAAAGAACTGGATATAGAGTTCAAAACAAGAGTTATGAGGTTTTTCAAGAAGCCTAATAAATTTAGTAAGATCCTTGAGGATATGAAAAAGGACCAACTAGAAATTAAACATACTGAAATAAAAAATATTTACAGAGACTCAACAGCAGACTAGAGGAATGCAAGAATCAAGTCAAAGATTTGAAATACAAAGGAGCAAAAACCACTCAATTGGAAAAGAAAAAAGAATCCAAAAATTTGAATATAGTGTAAGAAGCCTCTGGGACAACTTCAAGCATACCAACATCAGAATTATGAGGGTTCCAGAAGAATAGAGAGAACAAGATACTTAAAACCTATTTGAAGAAATAATGATTGAAAATTTCCCCATCTGGTGAAAGAAATAGACTTACAAGTCCAGGAAGTGCACAGAACCCCAAACAAGAGGAATCCAGAAAGGACCACACCAAGACAAATCATAATTAAAATGCCAGGGGCAAAAGACAAAGAGAGAATCTTACAAGCAGCAAGAGAAAAACAGTTAATGACCTACAAGGGAGCACCCATACGATTGTCAGCTGATTTCTCAACAGAAACTATGCACTGGCAAGAAATATTCAAAGTGATGAATAGCAAGAGCCTACAACCAAGATTACTCTACCCAGCAAGCTATCAATCAGAATTAAAGATCAGCTAAAGAGCTTCACAGATAAGAAAA